ACGGCTTTGTTGTTATATTGAATCAGGCCAATCGTATTTTTTTCTCGACAGAGTTGCGTATTCAATCATTTGGACTGCCTACACAATTTATTAGTAAATTGAATTTTCAAATATCTTATGACTTACGATATGTTAAGAGGTCACAAATGTGTTTTGATTTAATAACATTTTACAGTAGCTATCGACAGTAGATAGTGCGTCTCCCAAAACTTAATAATTGTCAATATAAAACTCAGGTAACTGTACTTCGTATATTACCTTCTTAACCCATGTTTTTAAACGTTTTTCGTCGTCGTGCGGCTTGCTATGAAAGAATGTCTTGCAACTAGGTACTTATACCTACAGGGTCACTAGTAAAACTTCACCCTATTTTGGTTGTGCAACGAAGTTGTGTGCCAGGAAGATTGTTCCGTGCTTCAGAGTGCAGGTTTGGCATCCCCCGATGCTCTCGATGGCTGTCTACCATTAGGTAGACGGTGGTAGTTATTTTAATAACAAAAAAAAGTTCCTAACCTCCTTAATCATTACTTAAAACGGCCCTGGTGGCCCCCTCCCGGTTGACACCTAATAAAAGCTGTGATAGAGGCGTAATCTGCATTGCTAATGTTATTTTTCTCTGAATTACTTCCCTGTGCCCGTAGATTAAACCTCTATTATATTCCGAGACTGTTTGTTTATCGAGGCTCTATTGCGCTCAAAAGATGCTCGTTTTAATAGCAAAAGGTGAAAGCTTCGCTTTTCATTAAAAAGCGTTGTATTATTTAGAAAATGTTTATGCACCTTACGGTTTTTAAAAGCTCTATCACTGAGGTTGTTATTGTTAGGTTTATGTTTTGATTGTGCATTCAGACAAGGCTAGCTTGCTATGAAGTAAAATACTTAAATAAAATATTGTTTGAAAAATATCGCACATTTTTGGTTAATGTGTGATGTGGTTGATTAAGTAACCCAAACATGTGATCAAATTCAGATATGCATTTTTATTTTTACTTCATAGCATAATGAGGTAAATTAATCAAGGATAGTGGCTAATCAAATAATTAATATTAAATACAGAGCCACAGTTACCTACAGTTTAGATATTTTTAAGAGTAAAATAATCGTACTAAATAATAAACGTGAATAGAGATGCACTATACTGCCACTTTTTAGTGGAAAAATTAAAAGCATTATCATTTATTTTCCCCACCACAAGAGCGACCTTTAATTTTCTCTAAAAAGATTGATGTCATATAAGGAGATTAAAAGTATAGTGTTATGGGGTAATAACATTGTAATAAAGTGTCACGGATTTACGAGATATTACCCTCTAGGAAAACTCGTTACTCATGATTGCCCTTGCCAGTAAGTGTATAATAGTTTTATTTAATAGAAAATGCATGTAATGAGTACCTACCTACTTACGTATTAACATGTAACATGTAACAATTAGTATAATAATAGTGACCGATACCGAAAACTCAGAAAGAAAGGATAGGAACAATTTTTCGCTAGGGACATAGTTGAATAAAAAATAGAATTTTGGACGTAACATTTACATACAAATTGGATTGGATGGGCTAGTTCATCCCTCAAAATATATGCTGTTGATTTTTTGCATCATGTATAAACACGCGATTCATACTTCTAGTCGTAACCTTTACAGCCACAACAGTCCACTGCTGGACATGGGCCTCCCCTTCTCGGGGGATACTTATTTTATTTAAAAGGAACGCTGCTTCCAATTACTTGGATAATAAACCCTGAGTCACTTTTTACTGCACCCACGATTAGAATTGGGGTGATGCTATTCTAAGCAGTCGTAGGTTCAACTCCAAAACTTGTGCCCAAACGCCATGCAGATATGCACCAAGTATCCAGCAATATCGCAAAACGTCTTCTTCCTTCACAAAAACGCCCACCGGCCACTTCCACAAATGCGCTTTGTCCAACATGATTTATAGCCCACTGGATATCTTAATAACTCTCCGCTGCGCACATAAATCAGACGCAAGCCGGTTCTTACTGTTTCTGATATTTGGATTTCTGTTTCTTGCCTGTCTTGTGCTGTTAAGCTGATTTGGATTATGAAAAATATAGTAAGAGAGATAACTCCACTTATCAAAGTCAGAGTAAAAACATAATTATTATACAGGGTGTTAGGGACGGTGTAACGTAAACTTTGCAGGCGTGCTCAGACCATGAAACTGAACAACTTTTACTATGGAGGTAATGGTGGGAAATGAAAAAAAAACCCACCTCCCGTACAAAGTCAGTCAGCTGATCGTGAATTTTGTATGGGAGGTCGGTTTTTTTTTTCGTTTCCCACCATTGGCTCCATAGTAAAAGTTGTTCAGTGTGATGGTCTGATCATGCCTGCAAAGTTTTCGTTACATCGTCCCTAACACCCCGTATTTATTTCTTAGTATGAAGTTAGTAGTTACAAGATTCTTCTAATTCAATCTAATCATATCAGCCTATAAGTATAGCAGTCCACTGCTAGATCTGCCGTGTGACGCGGAACTCGTGTATCTTGAAACTGCTCGACTTGAGAAAAACGCATTTGAATCTAAAATCTGCTTTTTCCTTTTTAAATGCTATGCGTACATTAAAATCATAATAATTTTTTAATAAATCTTTTATTATTGTTATTAGTTTGAAGAACATACATTATTTTTTCATAATATTTGATGCAGAATAAGTTATAGCCATTTGAAATTTGAAGCAGTGAAAATCTCATACAAATCGTGTTACGCGAGGCCGTGTATCTCCAAGTTACACGCTTTCCGCGAGATAGGTTATGTTCAACGTTTATTTCGCGACGCGCCGCGCCCAGTAGCATTTACTTTAGTTGAATCGTGTAAGTGAGTTACACGCGCAGCGCGTAACAGTAATCGGCAAAGTTATGTCTTGCCAAATTCGTGTAACTCTGATTTTCTTGTAAAAAATTTCATACAAAATATTTTTTTATTCAAACTCCCCTTATAAAGTAGACACCAAAAAAACGATTAAGACATGTTAAGCGTAATTCGTGTAATTAGAGTTACACGAGTTCCGCGTCACACGGTAGAGATGTAGGCTGCCCCAAGTTTTCGGAATCATAGTATTTCACCTTAAATAAGATCGGCCGGTAAAGTTACCTTTTGAAAGTTTTGTGATTTCAGTCTACCATTTGGTTCTAAAGGATAGATACCATCGCCAGAAAATCCACGTACTTCTTAGTATTTGTATGAAAAAGCAGTATAAGTTGGTCACTTACCTTTTTCTTACTTAAGAGATCAACTTACCTATACTGATTTTTCTTAATATTTGTATGAAGACCAGTAAAAGTTGGTCCTTTAACTGAGAAGGGGGATTTGCTGGCGATAAACATTTTGGTTGTTTACAAGAACAAGTTTAACCATCTACACATTTTGGTGAGAAAAATTATCTACTTGAGGTCAAAATGTACTTCCGTTCGTTATATCCTAAATTGACTTACATATACAGGATGGATTATGCTGAGAGGTATGCGAATCACTCCCATGCATAACATATTCCGCGGTTTGTTGTAGTTTCCGAGTTATTTAATTTCAAAGTTGTACAGGAAAAATTTAACTAGCGTGAAGAAAGTTGTTTAGTTTTATCATTATTATCAACCTGCCCTTATCCCAAAAGTGGTTAGAGTCGGCGCAACATATTTTTTTAGAGCACAGAACCATGTAGCAAAATGATTCTGTTGTTTATGCTAGAGCTTAGCATTTTCGGGAAAATCCATAGTTCGGTAGCACTGTGTATATCTGTATACTTAGGTACTTAGTTATATCAACGCATTACAGTTACGTACATATTCCTGGAAAGGCCCAGTTTCAACAAGTCCAACCCAAAACACATTACCTGATCCGGGCTTCCGGGTGTTCCGGGTGACGCAAACGACCCACGGAAGGACGAACTATCTTTTTATGCCACCCGATAAATGACCCCGAGTTAACTGAACGCGGCAGATAGCGCTAATGGCCTAGGGAGAGAAAAATGCTAGTGATGGTGCGAAAATTTCGAATTATGCCTCAGGAGGGTTTTGCTGCTGTGACGATCTGGGGATCCCTACGCCATTTTGAAACGAATACAGACATTACTTTTTAAACTATTTTTACATCGGCTGTTTCTGAATGTGTTTTTTTTTACGGAAAAATTATACGCACTTCGACAAAGAGTGATATCCAGTTGCGTTGTGTGGGTAGAAGGTGGGTAGGCATTGTAAACAAAATTCAAAATATACTGGCAACCGTAATAATAATAATAAAGCGCTTCAGGGCCTGGGTTAAATAACATCATCAGGAAAGGAACAAAGCCATTTGCCAGAAACGTGTCGAAAAAAACTTCTTGCATCTGACAGACGTATGCATTAGAGCTGCGTTTAAAAAGGGTAGCAACAGACATCAGATGTTTAACCGGGCGCCTTACGACTACTCGGCATGAACGGTGAACTATTTCAAATGTGCTATACGCTTTGGTATTAAAAGTTTACCCATGAGATGGAAGCATCACATATTCATCGTCATAATGTACGTAGTTTCAGATTATTCCCGCTCCTAGAGTATTAGACTTTATTCCTAGGGAATATAAATCTATAATCGGATAAAAAAGCTTTTGTTGCAAGAATCGTTCAGAAACGAATATTATTATTTCATAATTAAACATTCTTTTGACTGGAACCGTAACGAAAAAATCCAATAATGAATCCCAATTTGCTTTGTTAAAATGGATTCTTACATCCGCTCAATTAACGGAATTGCTTTTAAAAGAAATAATTGAATTTTTAGTTTATTTTTCGTAATTTTTTCGGTGAACGTCTATACGTATTGATTGACATTACAAATTGGTAAAAACCAAATTTTAAAACACATTTGGTGTTAGGGTTTGTGTTAGGTATAAAAGTTTTGGAAAACTTGCTAAATTTTGCGGTAGATGGAACCATGCCACGCGTTAGTGGCCGAGATATATTTTTTTTTTGCTTTGCTTAATTCCCAGGCTAGGATAGAACCGCAGTAGCCCAGTTGGTAGTGGCGTCAGCAGTACAGTTGCCGAAAGTCGTAGGTTGAAATCCTGCCTGCGGTGGAAAATTTTGCAAGTTTTCCAAAAAATATAAATTACCCTTAAACTAATATCGACATTGAGAGCGATTTGGCGAAACGGTTAGTACCTACTGCAGGTATATTTTTCAAATCGATCTCACATTTGAGTTGAGAGCAATTTAAGTCTATGGAAGTGTCATGTGAAATCTCGCCATGAATGACGGTAACTGGTAACTGTCACGACGGTCGTAAAACCGGAGGACACCATTACCCGTCTAATGATGGGACACCCACATAAAGCAGTTTGAACGTCGTGGAGCTGAGATTGCTCGCACGGATTAGTCAGACGCACATTGTAATGGACCTTCATAGCATATAAGACGTTCGTGGCCATTTTTAATACTTTACCACTCAAACCTAGACTTTAAAATTTTGGGAATATTCTTCATCGCATTAGTCAATAATAATATCATTTCGCTGCGGGATGTCAGCTGTCTACGCCATAAGGCACCATCACTCGTTTTCACCTTCCAGTCGCTAATAGCATCTTTAGGTACGTTATTGGTCCATCGGGCCGAAAGTCGTCCAACGTTACGCTTGTAAAGGCAACATTCTTAGGTATAATAATATAGGTACATACACAGCGGTCGTTGTTAGCCTCACAGACTGTCTGCAAGCAGCCTAATATTCAAAATACCCAGAAAAAAAAGATCTCTAAAGAGCAGCGTAAAATCTAAAGACATCTGTGGAATAAAACATCTATTAGTCTCAGCAGAACTTTATTTGTGACGACAATTTCATTTCCTCCTGATTACATTGGGGGCTTCCCCGGAATACTAACGAAGTACTCGGAGGCGTGGTTGCGATAGATTGCGTTTGGTTTTTTTCACTGAGGTTACATGCAAAGGTCTTCCCTTGGGCGAGAAACAGTATGGTTCCGCTGCGTAATGCATGCGTTAGAACAATACGAATGCTGACCTTATTCCTATATAGATACAGATGCAGCATTGTGCGATGCGCTGTCAAACTGTTTACATAAACCGTATTTGTATTAAAATGAGGTGGAATATCGCATTTTCCCAACGTGATGGTGCTGCGCAAAATAACGCACGAATGGACGTGACGTGTGGTATCGATACTAAACTTACTCCTAATTTTTGGCATAACCCTCTGCATAGGCATTTGGTTTTGATTTAAATATATTTCACACAAAACCATGACGCGATTAACGATTTGACGTTAATTCTGCTGCATTGTTCAGTACTTGAATAACTTTTAGCTTTTAACATGTGATAAAGTAATTTAAATATAACATTATTTGACAACAGTTGATGCCGTGTGATGGTGGCTTAGAATAGCATCGTCCCAATTCTAAAAAGCGGCTAAGGGATAATCAATCATCCAGGGAATGGGCAGCAGTGTGCCTTGTAAATGCAACATCTTGAACTGCGATGATGCGTCGTCGTAAAGAAACATGAAATAATTCTTTGTAGGTAAATGTTGAAAAGACAATACACCAAAAATAATGCCTTCGAAAGCAAAATATTTTCTTTCTCCACTTCTTGTTCATAGTTCTTTTACTATTACATTCCGCAGGTAACAAAAGCTCCGACGATGATGTTTATTAAGAAATACTACGAATGTTTAATGTTTCTACAGATACCCTTTGTTTCTAATTTCATAATATTATGTAAGGTTAATTGCTAGCGTTGCTGTAATAAACGTGTCCCTATCGGGAATTAAACCCGGTACCTTCTGCGTCGCAGGCAGTTGTCTGAAGCACTACGCATCATCGGCGTGTCTATAGCATAGGCTTAGGCATAGGTTTATTAAATTTAGACATCAGGGTTCATCGGGTCGTTGAACGACTCCGTGTCCCACACGAAGAGAGAGAGATTAAATTTCGTTGCAATTCGACTGCAGGAAGTAAATTCACGAATGTTCAATAAAACGGAAGGAACAAAATAATACCCCGCACTGACACTTTGATAGGTTAATACTCTACCCAAACGCACTATGACATCGCTCTTGGTAGATTACAGGTTAAATACTCGCAGCAAATCAATGTGGTCTATTCGATCTATATTTCAACTTATATCCCCTGAGGAAAGTTGTTCAGTTCCATGGTTTACCGCTTTTTTTACATCTAGTAATATAAGGTACATTATTTTATTTGTTCTTGTTGTGTTCCTTGGAGTAAAGGGAGCACAGCTTTAGAATGCGAGTCACGTATTCTGCATAAAGCAGAACAGCAAATTAAATTCATAACTCAACCCCTACACGCATTATGTTATAATAATAATAATAATAATATACTTTATTGCACATAAAAAACAAGATTACAAGGAAAAAAAAACAGATACAGAGAACACAGTACAATAAGGCGGCCTTAATGCTAAAGTAGCATTCTCTTCCAGGCAACCTTTGGGTGATATGGAAAGTGCGGTCTTGAAAGCGGGATAGTGCAAACCCCTACATAAACTACATAAAATATTATACACCAAAATACATAGATACGCACAACGGCAATATAATATGCATAATACATACTAGATATTTATAAACTAATACATATACATAAATTATATACTATGGAAGCAAGGATAATGCGATATACTAAGTAGGAAAGAAGAAAGAAAGATAATAGATGACAATGTAGATGGAATATTATACTACACTATTACTTATATTAGATAGATAGAATTTCCTGGTTCGGTCCTTAAAGGTTTCGAGGGAAGGAGCCCGACGGATATCCTCAGGCAAAGAATTCCACAGCTTGATTGCTCGCACTGTGAAAGAATTTGCAAAGAATTCCGTCTTGTGTGGAGGAAGGTTGATCTTAAGGCTGTTGCTGGCACGCAGATTGCGTGTCAGGGTTGCCGAGTGAAAGGTGAAGCGATCTTTAAGATAGGGAGGAGCATTAGGATTGGAAAGGACGGAGTAAAGAAGTCCCTTCTACGGGATATAGGTAACCACTGAAGTTGGGACCGGTGAGAGGAGACATGGTCATACTTTCGCAGACCGAAAATAAACCTGATACATAGATTCTGCAGACGTTCGAGCTTATTCAGCAGTTCGACAGTTAGATCAGGAAAACAAACGTCTGCATAATCCAGTATTGGTAGAAGAAGAGAATGTGCCAATGAAATTTTAGTTTTAGTGGGTAATAGGTTTTTGAGTCGCTTAAGTGAACCATACGCAGCAAACACCTTTCTGCTAATTTCCGAAACATGAGGTCTCCAGGTTAAGCTTTCGTCAAAAATGACGCCCAGATTTTTTACCTTTTGACTGAAAGGAATTGGAGTGCCATCAAAAGTAATCTGTGGTAACGACGCGTAATCGATTCTGTCCACATACCACTGACTACCAATTATAATAGTCTGAGTCTTGTTAGGATTTACCTTCAGACCATATGAACGACTCCAGTCAGCAATGCTCTTGAGGTCTCTGTTGGTTTGATCAATCGCGCCTGGGAGGCCAGAGAGTGGTGCTTGCGTATAAATTTGGAGGTCATCTGCATACAAATGATAGGAAGAAGTAAGAGGAAGAGTAATAGAGTTAATAAAGATAGAAAACAAGAGAGGTGACAGGACGCCACCCTGCGGTACGCCGGCAGATGTATCGCACCACGCAGAGAAGGTATCTTCAATGCGTATGCGTTGTCGACGCCCATACAGGTAACTTTGAAACCAGCTAATCACCGCTGGAGATATGTTATGGGAACGCAAAATGGCGAGAAGAATGTCGAAATCTACAGTATTAAAAGCATTACTGAAATCCAGCAACGTCAATACTGTTAAATTTTTATGTTCCATTCCAAGCCGAATATCGTCGGAGATATTGACTAGCGCAGTAGTCGTGCTATGACCGGGGCGGAAGCCGGATTGAAAGGGGTTCAACAAGTTGTTTGTAGATAGGAATGAAGTGAGCTGTTGATGAACTAACCTTTCAAGGACCTTGGAAAGGAACGGTAGGATTGAGATGGGACGGTAGTCAGAAGGAGAATCAGGTTTAGGTTTTTTTGGCAAAGGAATGATTTGTGCCTCCTTCCAAGCGGTTGGAAAAACACCTGAGGATAAGGATTTGTTAAGGATCTTGGCGATGACTGGGGCAAGGATATCAAGGAGAGGAACAATCATAGCACGACTAATGCAGTCACTGCCAACGGCATTCGACGAAATGGCCTGTACAGTCCTCATAACATCACAAGCGGTGACTGCGTGAAATATAAAAGATGGAAAGATAGGAGTTGGCAAAGTAGAAAGATGGTTCAATGTGCTAAGTTTGGTAGCGCTATCAATTTCAGCGGAAGAAGAAAAGTGTTTAACAAGTGTGTTGATGTCAACGTTAACCGCAGAAACATGGGAACGCGGTTTGCCAACTCCTAATTTATTGAGGAAGGACCAGACTTTAGCTGGATCCCCGTTTTCAACCGATTGATGGATATGGCGTCGCTGTAAATCCCTTATCTTTGTATTACAGCGATTTCTGACCTCTCGAAATTTATCGCGATTTTTGTTGGAAGAATCCATTTTGTACCTGGTTTTTGCACGTGTCTTTTTAGTCATTTGCTCTCTTATGTCGTCAGTAAGCCAAGGTGCAGGAAGATGCTTTACCCGAACAGGACGAATAGGTGCATGACGATCATAGAGATCGATGAGGTTGGCGTTCAACAGAGCCAATTGGTCATCAACGGAGTCGAAACTCTCTATAGCCGACCAATCAATTCCACTTGCGTCCTCACGTAGTTTAGCTACGTCCATTGCAGAGAAATTACGTAGAAGCAATGTTCTTGGTTTCAGTTTGGGTGGCCGTATACGATACGATAGGTATATTAGGTCGTGGTATGAAAATTGATCGGCAGAAAATTGGCCATGCTTAGCCACGTGATCGCGCGATGTAACCAGTATAAGGTCAAGAAGGGAGGGTATGCAATTTGGAAAATGGTGAGTTGAAGTTAACGGGGGAATATACATATTACAAGATTGTACTAAGGAGTGAAGCTTCTTAGAACGATAGTTATTTTTTAAAAGACACGTATTA